TTTTGCAATGTTATAAGTGGCTGAGTTTATGCTACTGACTATGGGTCTGAGTGGGACAGCTTCCTTGTGGATTTTAGGAAGTCCGTAAATGCAGGGTCAGCTGGGACGATACACATATACAAGGTGAATTATCATAATTTTATATATATTATGGTTCATATAATAATATTTCAGACTGATTCAAAATCGAATTGAATCGAATCGAATCATGGATCGAATCGATTCGGGACCTTGTGAATCGAATCGATTCTAGAAATCAGTGACGATACCCAGCCCTAGAGAGGATACTATGGTACCTACCCCTGCTTGCTGCCTCTCACCTCTCACTCGAGACAGAAACAGCCCCTCACCATGATACTGGCTCTAGAACCTGAGCTGTGCTTTGAGGTCAGCCCAACTAAATTTAGTCAGTATTTCTCATTAACTCACGCACTGGGTCGAGCTCCTTCCCCACCAGAAAGGTGGGACTAAACATGGCACTCTGCACTATTGCCATTTTGGCAATTTGGGCTCATCTGTTCCAAGGACATTGTGCCAGTATAGTGGTTTGTTCAGATGCAACTTTTCAAACCTATGCCATGCTGCCATTTTACTTTTGGAGATAAGCTGCTCCCTCCTGCAAACCTTTCCAAACAACCTATACTTGTTTAGTATTTTTTTATTCTTAGGTTTAAAATTTAACATGGCAACTGTAGAGTCTTAGTTGGCTAAGATGTGTTGTTTGGATTTTGTAGTGTTTCTGAGCAATGCACAGCATGACCGTGGTATACATTTGCTGGGACATCCACTCCTGGGACTGCTGACGGGAAGCTGTCTTGAGTTTTTGACACTGATGAATAATCCTGCTGACTATAGAACGATGGACTTCAAATTGTTTGGTCTTGTAACAGTTCCATTAAGCTCAGCGCATTGCTTGTGTCGCCAGCTGAATTTGACATCACATCATGTGTTGCCTTACCCACATTGATGGGAGCAACAGTTCATCACTCTGATGTGCAGTTGCAGCACTTGTTTCTTCCTCACTGATAAAACTAAGATAAAAACACACTATGCCAGATGGTCCAGAAAATGGAAAGGTTTAATGGACACCATAACGAGATAATCTCCTAACAATCTAAGAAAGATCTTGATCCGTAATTGTGAAATCAGCTGCTTGTTACAAGCTGAAGACAAGTCTCTTGATACTCACTGAAAGCAGCTTTCATTTAGACCCTTGGGCTGTTTTTCTAAGTCTAACATATCAAAAGAAATTAATAAAAAATTACCTTTTTGTTCTGGTTGTGATGTGCCATTCCCAAAGCAAAGGGATACACACAGAGCAGCCCGTTCTCACTCCCGAGGCGTAACATGCCGACGTTTTGTCACGTCCCGTGGCGTTCCTGAGGAACGCGAAAGGAGACCTTCGGCGTTCTTATGGTACGCGGCGGGTTATGGCCGAAATCCAGTGCAATGACACTCCCGCGGTAATCGACATTCCAGCCCTTTATTCCAGCCCTAAACCTAACCTTATCCCTAACCCTAACCATAACCTTTTTCCTGATCTTAACCAGGACTTTAATGATGTTAAATAGCGTGTTTCTAAGCGATTTGAAGAAAAAGAGCGAACATGTGTAGATTGAGTCCATACGGTTCTCATATTTCCTCATTTTTCCGAGGTCGTTATTTAGGAACGTGGTGGGTAGCCGAAAACTTAATATGTTGACGATTTGTCACCTAGCCTAAAATGTGACGCTTTGGGAGTGAGAACGTGTTGCACAGAGACGTAGACAGTAATTTCATAGTGTGGGCTCTTGTGAAGGTCAACCTCAGGACAAATCCATGCCATATGGAAAAGATATACATCTTATAAAGTTTGTATCTGTCTGGTGTGAAACTTGTATGAAAAGCATACAAGAGTGAAAACAGATATAAGATCCCTTGAAAAATTATATAAATGAAACTTGTATGTTTTGGATACTTACTAAAACGATATATGAAGGTAATGAGAAAGTGGCCACTTTCATGAGTAAGTTTTTACTATTTCTTTTTGGGATACACATGCATAAGACATGATCTGAGGACAAAACACAGTTAAACTCACAGAAATTTGAGCTGCAAAAGAATCCCCACATATTTTTTTCAAAAGGGCAACTTTAATCCAAAGTCCTTAACAGTTCGATCAATGGGATCGGCCATGTACTGTCATAACTTGAACGAGAATCTCCTTCCCTGACCCAGAAAACTGAAGATTAGTCCAATATCAACCAAAAATGTATCAAGTGACTATCAGTCAAGTGCTCCTAATGAGTTCTCCTTATTGAAGTGAATGTTGTCTTAGTGTTGGATGAAGGAATCAAACACAGGGCTGTTACCTGGGAGACTGAAGTTTCTGTTCTTTGCCAAACCAAGTTAAACAACGGTACCTGATAGGGCTGCTCAATTAATCGAATTTTAATCACGATTATGATCTGGGCTTTCAACGATCATTAAAAATGACTGAGCCGATTATTAGCCCCTCCCTCGTGCTTCACTCTCGCGCTGCTCCGTGTGGCAAATCGAGCGCACCTCTGCATTTCGAACACGTGTCACAACAATTAAGAGCAGCGGTCTCCAACCTTTTTTGCGCCACGGACCGGTTTATGCCCGACAATATTTTCATGGACCGGCCTTTAAGGTGTCGCGGATGAATACAACAAAATAAAACTAGTACCGGTACCGAAAAAAAGAAGATTTATTCATAACACACGTGAAAAGACCCAGGAAAACCGAGTTAACGATAAAAACGATAACAAAATAACGCTGAAAACCGATAAAAACCCTGAAAACTAAACATTTCACACCTGAGCCTCAACTCTCGCGACCCGGTACCAAACGACTCACAGACCGGTACTGGTCTGAGGCCCGGGGGTTGGGGACCGCTGATTAAGAGGACCCGAGGGAAGCTCGGAAAGCTAAGCATAAGTTATTTGGAGAGGAGAGTGACTGCCGTTGGTTGAACGGAGCAACACTGCAAAGTTCACTAAACATAGATGTTTACATTTTTCATTTATGTTTTATATTGCAAACATTTGCACTGTTATCAGTATTTGCACACTATTTTATATTATTTTTTGACAATCTTTAAAGTCATTATTCAATACATTGTTATTGTTAAATAAATATTGTCAAATAGTCGAGATCTCAGTGAAAATAATCGTGAGTATCATTTTTGCCATAATCGAGCAGCCCTACTACCTGGTTAGAAGAAGCAGCATTTTCTCATCTGCCTTCACACGTGTATTCAATTCAGTTGTGTTTATATATCACCAGCCCACAACAACAGTTGTGTCAAGCTGCTTTGTATTGTGAGGTTAAGACCATAAAACATCAACTCAAGTAATGTCCCATTTCCATTCCATAGGCTTTAATGTGATGTTGGCCCACCCTTTGCAGCTATAACATCTTCAAACCTTCTAGAAAGGCGTTACACAATGTTTGGAGTATATTTATTGGAATTTCTGATTTTTTCACAACTGTGTTTGTGTGGTTAGACACTAATGTTGGACAAGGAGACCAAAGTTTCACTATCAGGTTGTGGTCAGGTCAGGGTTCTTTAACACCAAACTCACACATCTGTGTCTTTATGGACCTTGCTTTGTGCAATGATGCGCAGTCATGTTGGAAGAAGAAAGAGCTATCCCCAAACTGTTCCCACAAAGTTGGGACCATAACATTGTACAAAATGTATTAGTATGCTGAAGCTTTAAGAGTTCCCTTCGCTGGAACTAAGGGTTCAAACCCAGCTCCTGAAAAATAATCCAACACTACAGGTCCCCATGCACGGCCATGCACGGCCATGAAAACAATGTTGGTCTTTCAGTGTGCTTGGCTTATATGAATGGAGTGTACGGTCTAGTCTCATCTGATCTATGTTTGATCCTTAAGATCAGACTTCAAGTTTTACCTTGTCACCTAGGATTTTGAAATGGATGCCATTGGTGCATCTACTGGTAGGCTAACAGGTAGAATTGGCAACCACAGGTATTATTTTATGTCTTTTATCTGTAAAGTTTTCAATTTCTCTGTGTGCCTGCATCGTATCTCCGCAAGGTATTAAGACATCCTTTGACAGTCCAAAGGTGAACTTGTGAGGTTAATTTGTGACCGTAAAGAGACCTGAATGGTTTTCTGTCTCTGGATGGAATTTCCTGTTGGTGCTTTCATTAAAGCAGTCTTGTTATCTTTTTAGCATAAATTGCATACCTACATGTCCTGTCTGAATGGTTTTCCTTCTGCTTCAGATCTGTTTATGGTCCAAATGTGGCTCTTGGTCTGTCTCCTGACCCTCAGCTCAGTGGCCCTGATGACTGCTGTTGGTAAGTTCCACTTTTCAAGATTATAAATATTTTTTCGAGTCTCGGTAACAGAAACGTCTTTTGGGGGGTTCCACTTACTATTTCCTAATTAAATACACGCACACAAAAAAAAAATCTTTTATTAGAGATTTTATCATTTGTGAGCACAGAAATACATATAAAAAAAAATAAAAAATTCCCCACTCGCCCCTGTGGGCGGTCAATCCTTCAAGCTCGGGTCCTCTACCAGAGGCTGGGAGCTTGAGGGTCCTGCAGTATCTTAGTTGTTCCTAGGACTGCACTCTTCTGGACAGAGATCTCCGATGTTGTTCCCGGGATCTGCTGGAGCCACTCGCCTAGCTTGGGAGTCAGCGCACCTAGTGCTCCGATTACCACTGTTACCACCGCTTCTCGTGTTCCTTCTTCCTGAT